TTGAAGTAAAGTGACCTTGGACAGTCACTTTGTGGAGAATGAGGAAGTAATTCTAAAACCACTGGGGGATAAACATGGCAGAGTGTGGTGAACAGATACACAGGATTAGAGAAAGGGAAGAAGATACTGTGATTCCAGCTGGAGAGACCAGATCGACAGTGGACCCAACAGCTATGATCGTCTATTGTGTAGGTCTGAACTTCCAAGGAAAGCCAGGGCTAGGGGTTCACACTTGGGAATAATTAACATCTGATCTGTGGCTAAACCGACGTGAGTGGAGGAAATCATCATGGGAGTGTAGAGTGGAGGAGAGCTGGTGACTGGGGATGCAGCCCGATGAATACCTCGCGTGCCTACCACCATGATGAATGTGTGACTGGCTCACTGAAGATTATAAATCCACGAATGGGAAGCAGGATTTAATTTATCCATAGGTACACTGTCAAATGACTTGATGAAAAAGAGGAAAGTGCCTATACCAGGGTAAGACAGAACCGTTAAGTGTTGTGGCCCCTAGGTCTAGCCAAATATTGATCTTCTTAAAATCTAAATGTGGTCTTTTAGTTAAAAAGGATAACTCACCCTTTCTGGTAAACAATTTGGCAGCTTCTACCAAGCCTTTGAAAAGTTAATATCCCTTCACTCATTATTTTCACTTCCAGGAATCTATTTGAAGGAAAAAGTAGAGCTACAAATATGCCTCCTCTTCTTGGGGGTGTGAATTTCCCCGGAATGCATGGGATAAGGGCAGCGTTTACCTTTGACGTCTTTTTAAAGGTTTTGATCAAGGCAGCGCTATGGTATAAGATACAAAATTTGCCCTGAAGTCGAAGGTAAAAGATGAGCATTCAAAGAAATCTTGCAGTTTTCCCTCAGACTCCCACTCTCCTTGAGGTTTTGCTCTTGAGGTTTTGACTGCGTGGGAGAGTCGGGTATGCTGACCTGCAGGGTGAAGTCGGAGGTTTTGTGGGCATGGATCCGTGGCCATATGTGATCCAGTCCTTGTGACATCCAGTTAAGCCTCATTTCTGGCTCCCCTTAGTTTCTCATGTCGTGTTCCATAAATATTTCTAGAAATTTCCTCAACTCACCAGGCTGTTGCATACTGTGAAGCTTTTGCCCATCATGATCCTTCCTTGCCTTTACATGGATTGCCCTCTCCTTTTTCCTTTTCCTTCACATATCTGGTTAACTCCGATTCATCCTTCAAAGCCTTCTGCCGAGTAGGCCCCAAACAGGTTTTGTCCAGCATGGCATTTTGAAAAAGAAATGGATTTGAATTCTTTAAGGTGAGGCATACACTCTCCAGTTCCACCACATTTCTCACTCTTCCTTTTGTGTTCCCCCATGTCATTTGTTGCATCCCTGATCTACTCTGAGAAACTTGTCTCCAACCTCCCCTTCAGGCAGAAATAACCATTGTCACTGTCATTTCTATACCTTTACATCCATTACCATATTATCCTCTGTGAGGAATTTTTACAATTTCAATTTTTACTTTTTCAATTCTGAAAGTAGCATCCATGCCCCTTAGGTAAATTTTGAAAATTACACAGTAATAGAAAAAAATCACTCATAGCCCCTCTCCCCAAATACAGTGCTGTTTTTATTTTGGTGACTGTTTCCATGCATAGTTTATGCATGTGTTTTACATAGTTGTCATAATAAAGCCTATGAAGCTTAGGATCTTGACTTTTCATGTGTCATTATACGCATTAATTGTTCCATGATAGTATAATTATTTTTAAAGTCTGTTCGCAATAATTGGCCAAATGTTCTTGAGGGTTAGGGATCCTATTTTATATTCCTGGTTCCTAAGTACTGTGTTGGTCTGGGCCAGTGTAGGGGCTTATTAAACGTTTGTTGAATTATAGAGTTGTAAAGTTAATGTCTTCATCCCTACCTTCAAGGAGTTCATTTTGGGAGAGAAGACATATATATTCAAGCATTATTTAATATATTCATTCATTCAACAGATATTTATTGAGGACCTGCTATCTGTCAGGCATCATTCTATTACTGGGAATGCAGCAGTGCAAAATATCCCAGCCCTCATGAAATGTGTATGCTAGAACAGTGATTCTCAAATATCAGGCTGTATTGGAATCTTTGGAAGGCTTGTTAAACCCAGCTGGATTGCTGGATCCCACCCTCAGAACTTCTGCCTCAATAGGTTTGTGGTGGGGCCTGAGAATTTGCATTTCCAACAGGTCCCCAGGGGATGTGGATGCTCTTGTCTGGGGACCACACTTTGAGAACCCCTGGCCTAGAGGATAGATTTGCAGTACAATATGGCAAAGGAATATGGTTGTCCAGTTTGTTGTGGGAGAAGGGCAGATGTCTGTGTCCAAGCCTCTCCAATTCTTCAGTCCCAGTGAGGAAGTGGAGAGCTAGGATAAGGCCCTGGGTCTGGAGTCCTCATCTCTTCACTCTAGATGACTGAGCAGTCTCTGCAGGACCACAGAAGCCCAGGACTGATAAGCAGAGAGGTTAGAGATACCATCTTTGTGCCCCTTCCTTTGGCGTACTTGCCATAGATAACATCTAATTAAGCTTCAGTGCAACTGCAAAATAAGTGTGTTTTCACTCATTCCATACATGAGAACACTGAGGCACAGAAAGTTCATATAATCTACTCTGGTCCCCCAAGATGGTGAGCCACACATCTGGGGCTCCACGTCAGGCCTTTTCAAAAGCCTTTAGACTTCATGCTGTTTCTATGACTCTAGTTGAGACTGGCCTATGGTAGAGTCCTCCATGGGAGCAGTCATTAAAATGCTTCAGTAGTCATGGCTGTTTCCTCTGCAGTGAGACTGCAGAGCAGAAGCTAGTGCAGGTGTCTCCTTGTTTCATCTGATGGCTGTAAAACCCGCTGCCTTCCTCTTCGGGCCTGTGCTGCCAGGAAGCTCCCAGGTGTGCTTTGCATGTGGTGGCTTTCCTCAGGCTCCAGAGTTCTTTGGTATAGTTAGCTCCCTGCTGTTTTCTTTTAAAATTTGTGTTGCTGTGTCTTCTTTTAGGAGCTTTATAGAATAACTCTTAAAATAGGTGGATATCATAGATTAATGAGGGAGAAACTAAATTTTCAGGATAAAATGCATGGCTTTAAGGTTTTTTTTGTGTTTTGTTTTTGTAACTTTTGAGGAGTGAATTGAGCCAGCTCTGGGCATATGAGTGGACACATGCATGCCCATAGACATGTATGTACTTGATGCCTTGAGATGTGTCCAGAGAGTCTTGTGATTAAAAGAATGAACTCTGGCCAGTCCACACCTGGTTTTGTACTCTGGCTACTTACTCACTGCTTGCTAACTTTTTTTTTTTTTTTTTGAGACGGAGTTTCGCTCTTGTTACCCAGGCTGGAGTGCGATGGCGCGATCTCGGCTCACCGCAACCTCCGCCTTCTGAGTTCAGGCAATTCTCCTGCCTCAGCCTCCTGAGTAGCTGGGATTACAGGCATGCGCCACCATGCCCAGCTAATTTTTTGTATTTTTAGTAGAGACGGGGTTTCACCATGTTGACCAGGATGGTCTCAATATCCTGACCTCGTGATCCACCTGCCCCGGCCTCCCAAAGTGCTGGGATTACAGGTGTGAGCCACTGCGCCCGACCCCGCTTTCTAACTTTTTAATGTCTCTGGGCCCCAGTGTCCTCATCCGAAATGGAGACAATGATACCATGCAGTGTCGTCGAAGGATTAAACGTTTTGTTGTTTTGACGTTTGTAAAATGCCTAGCTCAATGCCTAGACATAGTATGTCTACACTAGGCAGTAACTAATGCTATGATTATTTTATGCCTAGCACAGGCTAGGATTTAAAGAAAGACCGGGCTTCCCATTTGCAACGGCAGTTTTCCAGGATGTGCCGTGTGAAACAAAAATGACTTTCCATTTAATGTCAGGGCTGCTTCTCCTTTAGAGAGAATAGCTCCATGCTGGTGAAACTAACCCTCAAATGAGGGTAGACTGTCATTACAGAGGCCTCCAGATTTTCTGAGGTCATCTGCTTAGGGCTTGGTAACTAAGACTTAAGACAGGTCTGAGGTCTGCACTGCCTTATTTATTTGTAAAGTGACTTAAGCATCCTTGCCTGGAAAGTCCCCTAAAGCCTATCTTCTGGTTTTGGCTGGCTCTTGTTTGATTTTATTAGGTTATTACTTTCCATTTTTCCTTCAAACTTACGACTTATACTCAATCCAATTGCCTTGGCTATTTTTTAGGGAGAGGGAGAGTTCAAGTGCCTTGGTTCTCCAGGTGGGTGTTCATTCCCCCACCAGTTGGTACAGGGAGTGAGAAGGAACGATCACCTGGCGACCTGTGCTGGATGGTGTGGGCCACGACTTGGAGAGCAAGAGTCAGTCTGTGGCTGTGGGCTGGGGGTGATCTGCGGGCTCCTTTCCCCTTCCCTAAGCCTGAGAGCACCAGGGAGCAAGGTGTCCATCAGATGGCGCATCTCATGGAGGATGTACCCACAGCCTTGGCACGGGGATGATTTTCCCTACCTCTGCCCTTCTCTGCCAGAACTATTGTCAAAAAAGGAAGCTCCTTGGGTCATAAATTGCCATCTGTTGTTAGTATATGCTTTTATAGACAAGCCGTAGTTATACAGTAGCCTGATGGGCAGGAAGTCAGTGATTCATCCGAAGAAAAGTAACAAAAAAACAAACTTACCAAAACGAACTTCCTCTTTCAAACTCTTTGTTTAGAACTTTTTCCAACCTCTTTAAAAAATGTTAATAAGGACTAATGCAGTGTTTCAAAGGGCTTTCAACCCTTCAGAGCAAATAATGTATTGTTCCTTCAGACAACATAGTTTTAAAAAAATAATAAATAATTGTCCTCTTTGGGCCACGGTACTGTGGCAGGTGCCCTGCCAGCTTGGAATTCTTCACGTGCACCTGAAATAGCCTCGCGGGCCTCAGGGAGGGGCTGTGCATGCAGCACGTGTCTCTTTGATAGACCATTCCTTTCACTTGCTTTCCTTCCTTTTGTTTGCCTCACAGATCCAGGAGGCCGCAAGCCAGGGCCTGAAATTCGTTGGTGTTATACCCCAGTACCATTCCCCTGTGAGCTTGGCAGGCAGCAGTGCTCCTGTGTCTACTGCCAACAGCACCGAGGATGCCAGAGATGTAAAAAATGCACGTGGGGATCACGCATCACTGGAGAATGAGAAACCAGGGGCTGGGGACATGTGCGGTGCTCCAGCTGGGAGAAACCAAAGCCCAGAACCCAGCTCAGGCCCCAGAGGGGAGGTGCCCATCACCGAGCAGCCCAGCTTACCCTCTGGAGAGGGAGATGGTGGAGAAATTTCACCACAGGGGGTGAGCAAGACACTGGATGGACTGGACAGCGACCCCTTGGAGGTGCAGGAAGAGCCACTCTCAGGGAGTAAGTATGTCAGCACTGGGAGCTTTGACCCACTTAAAGAGCAGCTAACAGCTTTTCATTAATCCCCATGGTATCTCAGAGTAAAAGGAATAGAATTGGAGTATAGAGGTAGCAGTCCCATCAAACAGGAGAAACTTTATCAAGCAGTTATCTGGGCCAACTGACTGTTTACTTAACTGCAGTTATAACTTCTGGGGAGGACAGAACCACATGAAATTGACTTGCAGTTTGCCCCAAATTGTCACATTTGAAGTGGATTCTAGACTGTGAGTTCTTTTATCCCCTGTGCTCTCAAAATTGCCCTTGAATTACCCAGCTTTCACGCAGGAGGTGTCGGCCTGCCAGGCACCAATGAGAACCTACACTCCTCTTGTTAAAATACCTGCCTAAAGCAAGACATTTTACAGTTGAGCAAACTGGGGTTTAGAGAGAGAATTTGTTCCCCAGGCTGGAAATAAGCGGATTGGACATAGGAACCAGGTGGACTCACTCACCTCCCCTTGACGCCCATCTGCTTGGGCTTTCCTGGGTGATAGACTAACAAGATTTACCAAGCCCTTTAAGATTTACAGGCAGCAAAGTTTCCCTCCATTTCTCTGTATTTTCTTTTTCTCTACTTTCTTCAGGAAATCTGCCATCCATATTTCCCCTTTGTCCAGGAAATCTCCTGAGCTTCCAGTCATTTCCTGAGAGCAAGGTACTTATATGAGCCATGCGGTCCCTTCCAGCCTTTGGAAGGCAAACAAGCATGAAGACTGATGGAAGACCCCCGGGGCTTAGGAGGGCTTTCTGGATGATCTTCCTGGTCAATATTCTTATTATCATTGATTTACTAATACTTGAAATTAGCCCTTACAAGTGATCGTGAACAGGTAGTGTTTCAAGAAGGCAAAATGGGAGAAACAGTTTCTTTTGTTACATCAGAACTTCTTGGGAAGAGTATTAATTCTTCCCAAGAAGTTCTGGTTAATTCCAGGGTTTTATTTGCAGAGTTCATTTAGAGGGAGATATGGGAGCTGCTGCCTCAGTTCTGTGATATAGTAAGCCTATTGTGTTTTTTGTTTGGTTTTTTGTTGTTGTTGTTGAGACAGAGTCTTGCTCTGTCACTAGGTGCCAGGCTGGAGTGCAGTGGCACAATCTCGACTCACTGAAATCTCCACCTCCTGGGATCAAGCAATTTTCTTGTCTCAGCCTCCCAAGTAGCTGGGACTGGACTATAGGCACACACCACCAAGCCTAGCTTATTTTTGTATTTTTTAGTAGAGACGGGATTTCACCATGTTGGCCAGGATGGTCTCAATCTCTTGACCTCGTGATCCACCCTCCTCGGCCTCCCAAAGTGCTGGGATTTCAGGTGTGAGCCACTGCACCTGGCCAAGCCTATTGTTTAATCAAGGCCTTGAGCCTTCTGAAGTATGCACTGAATAGAGCCCTTCATTTGTACAGTTTTCCGCTGTTTGAGGCAGATGCCTGTTGCCCTCATGGAGTAGCTGCGCATGCATTTAATCCCAGTGCGTCCTCCTCATGAACGTCCAGGTCTTAATCCAGAAAATTCCATCTTCTCATGAAGGTTGGGCTGGATGTGTGTGCTCTGAATCCTGAGCGGGAAGATGGTCCTCATTGAAGACCTTCTATACAGGTCCAGGACTGTGGGAGGATGAGGGTCAGGCCAGGCTGAGGACCCCAGGAGAAAGAGCAGGAGTGAGGAGAGGCGAGGAGCACGGTGCTCAAGAATCTAGCTTCTATTTACATTCCAGCCTGCCTTCCATGCCCCATTTTCACACCCTGCAAATGGGGATAGAAGGATAGTTCCTTATGGAAAGGTCAAAAAAGATGTACATTTATTTATTTATTTATTTATTTTTGAGACGGAGTTTCGCTCTTGTTACCCAGGCTAGAGTGCAATGGCGCGATCTCGGCTCACCGCAACCTCCGCCTCCTGGGTTCAGGCAATTCTCCTGCCTCAGCCTCCTGAGTAGCTGGAATTACAGGCACACGCCACCATGCCCAGCTAATTTTTTGCATTTTTAGTAGAGACGGGGTTTCACCATGTTGACCAGGATGGTCTTGATCTTTTGACCTCGTGATCCACCCGCCTCGGCCTCCCAAAGTGCTGGGATTACAGGCTTGAGCCACCATGTCTGGCCCAAAAGATGTACATTTAAAGCGCTCAGCACTGCTTGACCCATGAGTATGAGCCGCTATTATTGAGGTGCAGGCTCAGTAGTTCCTGCTGCTCGACCTCCAGTCTCATGGAATTCTGGCTTTGAGAAAGGAGGCAGTTACTGCTGAGGTTTCCCCAGGAGTTTTCAGATCCTTCCTGTGTTCCAGAGCCCACTTTCCTCCAAGACTCCTTCCAGACTTCCTGCCTTCTGTGAGAGCATTACTCACTGGGAGACTTGTCCTAGGAACTCCAGATACCCAGGACCTTCCTGCTACCCTGTGGCCACTCCCCTTCCTCACCCAGAATCTCCCCTGACAGCTGAACACCCAGAAAAATTGATACGCAAAGCATCTTGGCCCCTATCCCATCACCCAAGTCCCTCTTCTCTCCTGGAAAAACAGACCTTGCTGGGGAGGAATGGGTGAGTGCATGTGTTTCTGGAGGCGGTCAGCCCACTAGTGGATGAGAATTGCAGCTCTGCCGGAGTAGGCCCAGAGGAGGGATGAAAGCCTCCTTCGTGCAGTCTCCCTAGGCGGGTAAACATTGCCTGTCTCTGCACGTCTCTGCTCAGGCTGCAGATCCTGACGTTTAGGCTGCTCACTGTTACCCTTTTTCCCTCCTTTGGTGGAATCAATGAACCCTTGGGTTTTTCATTCAGGGATCATTTCACCTATAAGCCTTCCAGTGGTCACGATCGCAGTCACCCTCCACATGCACGATTCTGTATATCTGTGTCCTTCTGTGTCATCTGTTACTCCTCCCAACAGCTTTATGGCAGAAGATGCTATTATTATGTCCATTTCACAGGTAGAGAACGTCACCTTTCATACCCCCATACAGTTACATTTCTTTATCACAGCCTGAGCATTTGGCCTCCCTGAAGGCTGGACGTCCAGGGACCCTGTCCCCATTGGTCGTGACCCTCACCTGACCCCTCCCCCAATCTTTCTCCTGGGAAGTCCACTCACCATCTACTCCCCGACAGGCCCCCCAGGTGCCCCTCCCCACCGTGTGCTCAGCTCCCAGCTTGCCTTCTCTCAGGGCCTCCTAAGGCGGTGAAGTGTTTTTACTCCTCTTCTGCCAGGTGGGCTTAAATAGGCAATCACAGCAAGACAATTTAAAAAAATCCGGAGGGAATCTTCCCTCCTCCTCCCTCCTCTTCCCTCCTTCTCCTCAGTTAATTTATTTCCTTCATAGGAGGCCTTGGGGAGAGGAATCTAGGCAGTGACTGTTCAGACAGGACTTTGCAGTGGATCCTCCATGCGGAAGCAGGGGCAGGTCGCCCCTCCCCATCTCTGCGGGCTCCACACAGCCGTCAGGCTCTCGTTGCCCCTGCAGGTTGGTTCCTCTTCCTGCTCACTGACTTTTATTTCCCGGTCTGGGGGAATTTCCTTTTGGTTGGAGGTCCATGCTGTGCAGTGATCACCGGAGCCTGAGCAGAGATAGCCTCAGCATCTCCTTTGCCACAACTTCATCAGAGAAATGAGGAGCCTAGACAGGTTCACAAAAATTCTAATCATTCTCACTGTCACCAAAATAAGAAGTCTTCTAAGCACTGCCCTTCCTACACTGCACCTCCTCACTTAAAATGCTGAGAAGTGTCAGCAGAAACTCGAGCCTGTGATGCCAATCACATTTCTGGCTAAGAGAACTGTATTCAGTACCCCTTCCTGGGTGCCAGCTCATTGTGAATGGCTGAAACCTGAGGGTTGGGCTTTCCTGATGTGAGGGCACCTTCCCTCCCCACACCCTTGGGATAGTTGGACCCCATGATGTGGCCCCCTCCCAGACCTGCCACCTGCTGCCATCTTTCTGGCCTTTTACTCAGTCCATTAACAAAGAGCTATTGAGCTCCCACCCGTGGTCATCAGCCCCTGCCTTCTGTGTCCTGATAAAATTAGCCTCTTGTTAGATTTGGGGAAGAGCCCAGGGTTTGGGGTTTGAAAGACTCTTGGCTGTGCCACTTACTGGCTTGTGATCTCTGGGGGACCCACTTAACGCTTCTGGGCACAGAACCAGTGCCGCCCCTCCCATCGATGCTGGAGAGTCACATGAGATGGTGAAGGTAAAAGGCCCTTGTAAACGTGGGACACGTGCCTGTGGCTGCTGTCATCCTTCAGTGGGTTCCCGTGGATTGTTTTGCATGCAGTAGTCCCTGCACTTTGCTTTTCCCTGCTGCCCTGGCAAGTGGGCCTCATGGTGGCCCAGAGGTGCACTGCTGTTAGTACCCAAGCCTGATTGAAGCTTGAGCAGCCTTGCCCAAATTTAGACCTCTGGATCCTTCTACCCTCCTGCCCTGCCTTACTACCACAGTGCCCACTGCCTGCCTATACAGTGCAAACCTTTCTGCTTAGTCCCTTCTGCCCATGACCTCAGGAGCCTGCAGTCCCCACCCAGCTTGGGCTGCCCAGCCAAGTATGACACCCACTTGTTCCTTCCAGTGCAGCTAATGACCAGCTGCCTCCTCCTCCGCCAACTAACCCTTGAAGTCCCAGATTTTCAGCCAGGCTGTAAACTCTTTCTTCTCTCCAGACCAGAGGTCTCCTGGGACAGCAGGGACAGCCAGTCCCCTGCCTACCCTCGAGATGGGGCCTCTCTGAGACCCCACCTGCAGGCAAACTGCAGCCTTCCATCTGTGCCTGAGTCCCCACACCCAGGCACAGACCTCAGGGCTGGACACCTGCCTCTTTGCTCCCACTCCCTAGTAGCCTGGCAAGGCCTGAATGGACCAGGCCCTCAGGCCGGCAGGACTCAGCCACCCCACCCTTGGGCACCATGCCCCCTTGGCCTGCCCTCGCTTTCTCCCCTGGTCAGCTTAGGTCAACTCAGTGAACACAAGTGCAACAGGAGGGATCAAAATGAGACAAGGTAGGCAAAGGGAGAGACGAGAAGACAGTCCTGATGCTCCTTGGGTGCTCTGCCGGTGCAGTCCTTCAGCCATTCCCAGAACGTCTCAGAAACAATGCCTTCCCTACCCCTTGGGGACTTTTGTCCAATGTCTGGAAAACTCTTCCAGCTCGGGTCATGGCAGAGTCACAGAGCAGCTGAGAAGATTTAAACAAGCATGGGGTTTCTTTTTAGAATCCTTGATGCTTGCTCACGTGAGGATCTGTGTTAGAGAGTCAGAATATTAGAACATCAAAGGGCATCACTTTTGGACAGTTTCTCTTGGCTGGTTTCCACGTGAGGAGAGAAAGGACTGGGGCCAAGGAGACGATGGGACAGAGGAGTGTACAGGGTCACGCATCTGCAATCAGGTTTCTCCCAATATTTCATTGCTGCTGATACTTTGGAGACTTTTGGTTCCAACGCTGTTTCCTTTTCCTTCCTGAGAAATTTATTTCTGTCTCTGGCTTCAGTCTGGCCTCCCGGGGAGGATCAAGCCGGGAGAGCTGTCGGCACCGTCTACCTTTTCTGAGGGTCTCTGTCTTCCTCCACTACACCCCCAGCATTCTCGCTTCCCCTTTGGCCTTCCCCTTTTACAGCTTCATGACGTGTTTAGGAAAGTTGTGTTTTTGTCTTGCCATTGAGTGGGGGTTCCTTCTGTGTGATCAACTGTTACCGTGTAGTTCTGGACTTCGGCCACTTCCAAATTCCCCACCTACTTCTCCCATGCAAAGTTTGTGATTTTTTTTTCTCTTCTTAATTCATTTGCATTTGTGCTTGACTGTAGTAGGCTGTGACGAGTGGTGCTGTGGCCCATGCTGGGGTCACCTGTGGACAGCTCGAGCCAGGCCCACAGCCTCGTTAGCCTCTCTGCCTGCAGGCATTCTCAGGAATGGCCCCTGGGGAGTGACCCTCAATTTATGAGGATAAATGTCCCACCTTCCTTGCCGTTGGTGGGTGAATCTGAGGTGTGTTTTACAGTGTCTCAGGGTCCCTGGTGGGGTTTGAGCCCCCGTTGCCCCGGGGGAACATGCTCATTTACTGGCATCGTCTCCATCTCCTCCCTGTTTCCCATTCCTACTCTTTCCCTCTGTTTCCCGGGTCACTTCCCAGATAAACTACTCGCACAGGAAAGCTTGCAGGGTCTGCTTTTGAAGGAATCCAAATAATGGCAAGAACTCACTAAAATCTTGCTTATCCTCTTGCCCTCAGTAGCTGAGCTTTTAATTGAACTCCCGGCACCCAGGACTAAAAAACATCCGATCATCTAGTTCACCTCCTGCACACCCCAGACCTAATCCATGGCTGGATTCCCTCATTACGAACCCCTTCTGTGTCCATCTATTTCTAGTTTGTATTTCGAAGTCATGAACTAGTCTAATGATTGCCAGCTCTATACACCAGGACCTAATTTCTGGTGTGAAAGTATTTTCCGGCTGGAGATGGCTTCCTGAGTAAGCAAGAGGACTGAAAAAAGCAAGTTGGGATAGGGATGATGAACAGGCTAGAACTGGTGTTTAAAAATCCACGTGCCCACTTGCAAAGATGGGCACCTTCCTTTCCTAATGTTCTGTTAAGTGGCTCCTGATCGTTCAGGTGTTGCTGATGACAAAGCAGTATGGCCCAGCATTGGTCCCTAGAGATCTCTGCGGTGCCTGCTCAGATGCGGCTGTGAGAGAAGACTGTGACCTGTGTGAGACACTTTTAGATGTTAGATGGATGAACATATTGGGTGTTAATGCGCCTCATCACCCCGTGTTTTGGGCACGTGGTAGAGGATTGCCTTCATAGTCATGAAATAAGGTTTCCCTTTTTTTAAAAAAGAAAGTATTTGTTTAAATAAAGGAAGGTGATTCAATTAAAGAATCAACTAGCACTTGGATACCACAAAACACTGTGAGATACTGAAATTCGGGAAACAACATCAGAGAGCGTGGGTCCAGGTGTCTCATGCAGGGAGCATGAATGTGCTTTGTCCTTCTTGCTAATGTCAACCATTGTTTATGACCTTTAAATTCTTGTTTCAAAGAAGGGTGGGGATTTTCTTATGATTTAAGAAGATATTTTTGGAAACCAAAGCATATTCCTGACTAGCCTGTGTAAGCAAGACTTTTTAAGCTAGGTCAACCGATTACTTGACCAAATGAGGAGCACAAAAATAGACTCAGACTTAGATTGAAATTCCAGGTATTTGCTTCTGGAGGCTGCTACTGCTAGCCCATGCCCAGCTGCACGTAGGCAGGCGCGGCTCAGCTGCTGGGTGGCAGTGGTAATTGATTGCTGAAGAACTGAGCTATACATGAAGGAACTAAAAGCTCGGCACTCATTCCCAGTGCCCCCTTGGCTGGACCGACCTGCCACTCCAGGCAGGAACTCTCATTTATGGGAACATATTTATTTTTACATATCAATGATGTATTTTTGATGTACTTGATTAAGTATTATGAGTTCGGCCCCAGGAAACAACGCTGCAGTTTATAAATAGTGAGTTCAGGAGTGTACAAGGTTCCTGGAATTAGAGCAGTATTTTTGTTTTTATGTGTCTCTGTACCTTTACTTTTTAAAAGCCCACTCTTCCCCAGATATGTCTGCTTTTATTTCCAAAACACATCTTTGTATGAATTTCTATAACCATCTCCTATGTTCTTTTCTTAAACACCTAACTGTGCACATGAATCGCAGATAACAGCTATTCATTATATTCTAGATTAAAAACCTAAGTCCCCCATCAGAAGCCCAACCTTTCAGGTCCATGTTACTTTAAGGCAGCCTCCACTTACTACTTGGAATGAGGCTTTATTATCTGGCAACAATACAGCCTCACAGAGATTTCAGCATTCATCATATCATTTATTCAGGCTCCTGAGAGATCCACTAGACCCGATGACACAGATTTTTCCCATGGTTGACCTCTTCTCTCTCCACTCCCTCTCCAAATCCCAACAGAAATGGAGATCTTCGCCCTTTTCAACAAACCGAAGAGCCATCAGAAGTGCCAGCAATACTACCCTGTCACCATTCCTCTCCGTGTCTCCAAGAACGGCCAGACAGTGAGCGGCTTGGATGCCAACTGGTTAGAGCACATGAGCGATCACTTCCGGAAAGGTGGCATGCTGGTGAATGCAGTCTTCTACCTTGGAATGGAGAATGGTATGGAATTCACAGTCCTTGGGTGGCCCTTTGTGAACTGGGCTTCTAACTCTCGAAATCTTAGCCCCTCTCAGAGCCTGTTTCATTCAGAAAGCTCTGCAGCCGATAACCATGCTGCATTTTATTTCTAATTAACACATCTTGAGGAACTTTCCATAAAGCCCAGGACCTGTGCTCTCTAAACCTCTCTAGGACTCAGCCAGGTATCTTCTGAAATGACAGAGAAAGCGGAGTGATTCTATTTCATGGAAAGTGGCCTCAGTCTCTGTTGCTTTTAAAGGCTTTTGAAAAGATTGTTCCCCGGATTTGTTAATTACCCCCTGGGATTGTGCCATTCCAAAGTGCAAATTGTTTGTAGACACTATTACAGTTTGAAGTAGCAGTAGCAGCACCTTGAAATTAACAGCAGAGAAATAAATTGAACAGCCTGGTTTCTGTAAGCTCCACTGAGACACACACTGTTCCCAGGTCTCCCAGCACCCAGTACCCCTCCCTAGTAATGTGTTGTCTCCAGTGGTTTGTTGCGTGGAATAGCACTATTGATGTCAGCTCTCCTAAGGCAGAAAGTCTGCCCACAGGGAGAAAATGTGTCAAACAAAGAAAGGGCTTCAGGTTAACGAGAAAGCAAGTTGAGTCACCAGGGTGTGTCAAATCTGGGAGGCTATGTGGGGAGTGGGACCAACGTGCCAGCAGCACGTGTGCATCCTGAGGGCTGTCAGTCAGCAGGATTCCTAAGTGAAACATAACGCCAAATTTGTCAATCCCAGCAAAACCTGGCAGGGGGCATCAATAGCACCGTGTCTTGTTGTTGAGCCGTTTTCTCTCAAGAATTAGCAGAGTCACGAACATAGTTTGGATTCCACATTGTTTGCAGTCCTTGAAATGCCAGCAAGCATCCTGAGAATAGAGACCATTCTGAATTCTAAATGAACGTACTTTAAACCATCTAAAGCCTTAGAACATGATATAGCACAGAGGTCTTAATTTTGAATGCAAGTCTCTATGGAAGTATCATTGCCAAATATTGAAATGTTATCACAGTAGCAGCAGGCGTTGTATAGTGTAGTGGTCCATAACCATTTGTTGAATGCATGAATGACACAAGAAAGGTGATTGGCTTATTAAGAATACAGCCAGAGGCTAAGCGTGGTGGCTCACGCCTGTAATCCCAGCACTTTGGGAGGCTAAAGTGGGCGGATCACAAGGTCAGGAGTTCAAGACCAGCCTGGCTAATATACTGAAACACTGTCTCTTCTAATAATACAAAAAACTTAGCTGGGCATGGTGGCAGGTACCTGTAACCCCAGCTACACAGGAGGCTGAGGCAGGAGCATTGCTTTAACCTGGAAAGCAGAGGTTGCAGTGAGCCGAGATCGTGCCACTGTACTTCAGCCTGGGCGACGGAGCGAGACTCCATCTCAAAAAAAAAAAAAACTACATCCAAAGCAGGGCCGTCGAGTAGAAGTGCTCTTGATGATACAGGTGTTTGTTCTTTGTCTGGGTTGTCCAACTGCCTGCAGCTACTGAGCACTTGAAATGAGGGTACTATGACTGAAGAACTGAATTTTAACATGTATTTAATTTTGTTAAGTTTAAATAACTATATGTGGCTAGTGTCACTAGTCAGTGTGCATTTGGTTGGTGCAGTTCTAGAATAGACAGGTCTTTAATACATAATGTAGGGTCACTTCTGTGCCCTAGTGGCAAGGTGGGTAACCTCCCTCTTCACAAGGAAACCCTCTGTTAGTACCTGCAAAGTTCCCCAAAGCTGGGGATTGTCACAGTCTGGTTTGAGATGTATTATAAAACACCAGAGGTGATACCTGCTTGGGGCCAACTTGGGGCAGATGTTTATAGCCTGACTTGTCAGTGTCAGTGGAGGCCAGGGAGGGGCCTTTTGGCTCCCTGTTTCCTGCAGGGACACCCCACTGCCCATCTGGGGTTGTGGCAACAGTGGCTCCTTTCATCCCCTCTCAGTGCGCATAAATGCTCTCTGTGGCCACGCATAGTTTTACATTCCTCCCTAGGAAACTGATGGTTAGTTGTTGAGGGTATGTAGGGCGTTGCCGGAGATAGTGGATACAAGGTGGCCACCTGGAATTTCTTCCCTGCTTAGGAAAATCAGGGCATTTATAAAAGGGAGGTCTTCTATTTGACCCCGCTGCCTCAGCAGGTTAGAGGCTCTAAGACCCCCAAGAAAGAACACCTGGACGTTCACACAGTCATTTACTGTTGTCTACCATTGTGGTTTAGCAATCAAGGCTGAGTTAGCCTCCTCTACTCCCCATCACCCCACTCTTCAACCTGGAATCCAGAAACACGACAACTCAGCTTTTTCTTCAGGTTTGCCTTGAGTGTTTGAAATACTGTTATAGCCTCCCTTGGCTTCAGCCACATTAAATTCATTCTTCCTGCCCTGAAGGCAGAACGTGAAATTTCCCCTGGCAAGTGTGAAGTCCTCTTCGGGGCCAGGCATCTCCCTAGAAGCAGCCCATATCTTAGAGCTCCACCGGAGCTGTTCGTAGCTATGTCAGGAAGGGCTGCAAAATTCTCAGAACAAAATGAATTAAAACCCACTCTGATTTTCAACACGATTTCACCCTTTATATGTCTGTCGGGAGGGAGAGGGTGACTGGGAGTAATGCTTACTGGGTTAGGGCGTTTCTGTTCTGGAGAAGTCCAAGGTTTCTGTTGGCCAGGAATGATATAAGTCTATGTTCTTTTCCCAGAATCAAAAAACAAAACAAAAGATGGCAAGCTAATCATAATCATAAGAGGAACCTATTTCTAATGAGATAATTAGTGTCCTTACAGATAAATCTGGCAGAGCTAGAAACACATCTTTAAGCTGTTTGCCATCTGGAAAGGCACCAGCCATGACTCTTAAATAGAGATTTTTGCTCCAAAATATTTTCCACAGAGTCATAAAACTCACAAGAACTTTGTCCCATAAACAAGGTGATGTTTCAGCCTGAATTACGCAGAGCAGACTCCAGAGCTTCTGTTCTGGAGGCATTGCTCCCTCCCTATGCCTCCCACCCCAGGATGGAGAAAGACTCGGACAGTCCTCAAGTTTGGGCTCCTCCTCATCGTGTCCAGGACTCCTCTCCCTGGGTCGTTCATTAAACCTTAGAATGACCGGGTGTCTTGGGCTGGAGGAGGCTCTGCCCGTGGGCAGAGGAGGGACATAGTGATGACTGTGGACACTTAGCGGTTGCTTTGTGTGGGTGCTGCTCTCAGCAGTTCAAACTTAGTGCTGACTTCATCCTCACAATATCTCAGTGGAGTAGGTACTGTTGTTATGCCTCTGTTATAGCTGTGGAAACTGAGGCACAGAGACATTATGTCATTGTCAAGCTTACTGACTGGTAACATCAAGAAGGTGGCAGGAAGAAAGAAGGGAGTTGACAGACAAAAGGACCCATGAGGTGGGCGGGATAGAAGAGGAAAGATGTGGCCCCTGGTGGGACCTTGGCGGCTATCCAGGTGGGGAGAGGAGGACTCCAAGGTCACTCTGGGGAAGTGGAAGGACCTGATGGGAAGCAAGAATGAGTCCAGGGGACACGTAGCAGAGCAAACAGGCACACAGGAACATGTCAGCCAGTGAGAGGAAGGCCAGGTTCTCTCTTTCTAGAGTATGGGGAAGACCAGGAGCAGAGACCTCCCAGCTGAGCCAGCTGTTGCAGAGGAGGTTGGTGAGAGCCAGGAGTTTGGGGTGAGATTGAGGCTGCCCACCACTGAAAACCCAGCAAGGAGGCTGATTTTTCACAAGGCCTCTGGGCCTGCAGAATTGCTGCTGCCACTACTAGCCCCTGAGGCTGCTGCCACTGCCACCGTCTCTCTTGCCCTGCCTCACCTGGAATTCCTCTTGTTCTGTCCTATCCCCTGCCCCCAAGTACACTCTTTGCCCTGCCTTCCCTGCCCCACCCCCCTTGCCCACCCCTGCTCGTCGCTCGTCATGCCCTTGCCCTTTCCTACCCTGGCAGTCCTCCACCTCTTTGTTTCAGAAATGGCCTTTGCAGCTGATTATCCAAACCAGAATCCACTCCAGCAACAGTCAGTGTTTGTGATGACCGTATCTTCCTTCTCTTTTTGCCAAAGGAAAAATACTAGCATTAAAAAAAAAAAAAAAAAAGCCCTATTTTTCTTTCCCTGACTGCTCAAGAGGAACCTAGCCTCTTATTCTGCAGAATGTCCTGCGTTATGGATTCATCTGGTCAGTGCTCATGCTGTCATTGATCTTATTTCTCTAGCCTCTGTTTCCTGTAAACTGGAAGTTAGTCCTAAGGCCTTGATAAATTAAGAATTATGACTAGAATACATTCCAGGCAATGCGTTCTCCACATTATATCATATAGGGGTCATGTAACACCCAGATGCCTCTCTGTGCCTTAACTTTTTAAAAGATAGGTCTTCCTTGAGAGTTTTTCTGATGCCCCAGCTGCATCTAAATCCAATAATACTTGGCATTTTATTTATACCACCTTTTTTGACATCTAGCATATCCTCCGTGATCATATATTTGCAAAATACATATGTAAAAAACATGAACATGTTTTTAATAAAATATATATTAAATACGTGGGGTGTATATTTTATACAGACATACTTGTAACCAACCCCCCAGGCAGGTCCTACTTTTTGTACTTTCTTAACATCACAGTGCCTGTATACAGAAGGTGACTAATGATAGTTCTGGATGATGCCCAGTAATGCCAGTGGTGATGAGGGAAAAAGCTGATATTGGAGTGTTTCACCAGGAACCTGCAGATTTTAGGGCAGGACTGGTTAGGAAGGGAGAATGAAGAGGTACCAGGTGATTCTGACAGCCACTCCCTGGGGACACCACCATCTCCAGGAATGTCTGGCCTAGTAGTTACACTTAATAATGTAGGGGCTAAATTGCACATATGCCATGAAATGCGTTTTCTCATGTGTCCATAGGGCATCTTTAAATAAACTTTTATTCCAGTTTAGCACACACACAAAAAATGGTGCAG